AAACCCCCTGTTTATAAAAGAAAAACGGATTACGAACGATTTTCAACTGATGACCTTTTAACATTTTTCGAAAAGTGCTTTGCTAACGACTCCAATTTGAACTGCAACGCTGTAAATGCTTCACCCATAAACTTCAAATGCAAATAATGGCAACAGAAACCAAACACATAACCTAACTTACGCCTAACTTTACATAGAACCTCAATATATAATATTAATAAAATGAAAATGAGAAGAAACCAACTTTTTATACACAATACAATAAAAGTTATGAATGCGTCTTTCGGGAAGGGGTGGGGAGCGGAAGGAGGGGAGGACGGGCGCCGCATTAACAAGCCTGGCCTGAGAACGGGTTGCTGGCGGAGGGAGGGAGTTACATTGTACAAGGGACGAGGTAGCGGGGGGTGTCGGTACATAGTCGGCCTCAATTGAAGACAAAGTGTTACTTCTAGTATTATACTGGTCGTCAGTTTATTGTTGTATCTATCATAGGAAAATGAATCAGAAGTCAGTAGGATTCGAACCTATGATCTGAGTTGACGTCACACCATGACCCTTACATATTTCTGGTGAGAGTCTGCACTATACAGAAACACCTGAGTGCCAGCCAGTGTCCGCAAATGTCCCCACTAACACTTGAGTGTCAGCTACTGTCCCCCCAGGTGTCAAGAACACTTGCACATTTCACCGGCAAACGTTCCACTTTACATACTCTTATCTCCAAGTGAATTCTGTTTCTTTGTTTGTAAAGTATAACTTGAACCTAGCAGGAGAAAAACGTCCAGAAACCGAAACCCCATTTCAATGCTCACTTTGAAGGAGAGGACCGGACACTAACCTGTATTGACCGCTCCTGACTGCACAAGTCTCTTATCTCAAGGATACGCCATGGAAAGCGACAATAAAGCATCACTGACTACAGTGATGGAGACAATTAAGCATCAGTGACTTCAGTGATGGAGACAATTAAGCATCAGTGACTTCAGTGATGGAGACAATAAAGCATCAGAGACTACAGTGATGGAGACAATAAAGCATCACTGACTACAGTGATGGAGACAATAAAGCATCAGAGACTACAGTGATGGAGACAATAAAGCATCAGAGACTACAGTGATGGAGACAATAAAGCATCACTGACTACAGTGATGGAGACAATAAAGCATCAGTGACTACAATAATGGAGACAATTAAGCATCAGTGACTACAATAATGGAGACAATTGAGCATCAGTGACTACAATGATGGAGACAATAAAGGATTAGTGACAATGCTGACCAAACCACACACTAGAAATTGAAGGGACGAAGACGTTTCGGTCCGGCCTGGACCACATGGTAGTCCGTGTGGACTACCTCCAGAAAGCAGATGTCTTGCTCTTTGACTCGCGCACATATGCCCCTCTGACTTCTAACCCTTTGGATCGACTTGAAACTTCCTTCAACCTCAAACTAAGACAGCTCTCTTGTCTTCGTCCTCCTGAATTCGATGATATTAAACATTTCCGTTTCATCTGCCCTTCTGACGCTTTACCTTGGCACGTTTTCTCTTGCCCACCTTCGTCACTCTCAGGACTTCATAGAAAGACTTGGCCTGCAACCCTCCTGTAAGTCTTGAGTCAACCTCAAGACTCCAGAGTCTTGAGGTTGACTCTTTGTTGTTACGGACCCGAGCCCAGCATCCGAGCACGGAGCAGTGACGACCACGCCATCTGTGGGTCAGCTCCCGAAACCCCCTCCAAATGGACGGCGCCATCTAGTGAGGACGAGATATACTGGCCGTAAGGGCTAGTTTCCCGTCCTGATCAGCTGATAACATAGCCGCTGCTGACCTCTAGTGAGGTGACGCTTAGACAGCAACGCCATCTATGGAATGGATAGATGGGCGTTTGTGTCTAAGCCTGTTAGTGAGGTGCCCTAGAGTGTCCCTATTACTGATGACGTGTCTGATTACAGAGTCGACCTGGGACTGCTGTAATGGAAGTTGGATCAGTCTACCCAAGGCAGCCGTCTCGTCTCCAAGTATTTGCTGCAGCAGCTGTGAGTCACCCCCCGGATGAACACTGTGGTGTTAGCATGTCCGTGACGTGGCAGCTGAGGGATTGTCGTACCCGGGACTGACTGGTGGAGACGCTTAACCACTGGGGTGTTGCGGCGAGGAGAGTGGTCTGTGAGATCACACGAGGCTCCCGACTAGGGCTCGCTACCCTAGTATCGGTCGTGGAGTGGCCTAACCAGCGTCGCTGATTGGAACCTGCCAGCTACCTGCTGGACTTGTGGTTGACGGCCTCCACGACGGTGCCCCAGTGGAACTGCGATTTGGCGAGCCTGTGGCCAGGGTAGACTCAAGAGAATCGAAGGATTCGTCGTGAGGCCACAAGAGTACCAAGACTTTAGCATCGACGAGCACCGTGGAACACTCCGCGTCTTCAGAAGAAGACTACGTTGTACATTCTAGTGTTTATACCCCCCCCCCGTGTAATCTTTTATATAGTATTTATGGTGATGGTGACAATTATATTATTAAGTTTTTGCCTTTGTCTCCCTTCCCCGTTTATTTTACTTGCGTTACGGATCACATCCCTTGAAAGCCACTACTAGCTTGGGGCTGGATACCCTACCTCTAACAACATCAGAGAAAGAACCCGGTTGCGACCCGAGAGGGCCGTAACATTTGTTTACTTATGTTCCCCTTCATGACGTTCTCTCTTTCCTTAGTCAGAAGGTGACTGAGGGTCTTCATCTCCATCTCCCAACTGACGTCTTCCTCGAACTCATCAGACTCTGAGTTGAATCTAACTCATTCTCTTTCAACGGTAAATATTACACTCAAACTTTTGGTGTCACTATGGGTTCCCCTCTCTCCCCTGTTCTTGCCAATCTTTACATGGAATACTTCGAAACTGTTCTTCTTCCTTCTATTGATACTCGTCCCTCTCTCTGTCTTTGCTATGTTGATGACATTTTTGTTAATGGCCTCATGACCTTAGCCTTTTCCAGCCTTTCCTCTCCGCTCTTAACAATTTGGCTCCTTCAATCAATTTCAAAGTTGAATTTGATTGAAGGAGAATAATCTAATTCCCTCCTTCCTTTTCTTGACGTTCACGTTCACACACCTGTGTCCGGGTTCTCTTTATCTGTATACCGCAAACTTATGGATAGTGGCAAGAACAGTCGCTTTTCCTACCATCCTCCTCCTGTTGAGAAAAGTGTCCTCGTCTCTGTTTCTCAGTGCTCTACGCATTAGCGACCCTCAGTTTCTTGATTCTGAAAACTACTTTATCTACAAATCTTTTTCTCGCCTTGGGTTACCCTTTACATTTCATCAACTGTGTCTATAAGGTAAACGAAATTTAATTCATCCTAAACCTGCTTCCAACCCTTTAAGCACTGTGCTCTGCCTTCCCTTCTTATCTGAACTCAATACTCTTACTAATACCATTTTCCTCTTGACATAATGCTCGCCTTTCGCCAAACTTATACTTTTTATAGAAGTCTGGTGCCAGATTCACGAAGCAGTTACGCAAGGACTTATAACCTGTACATCTTTTCTCAATCTTTGGCGGCTTTGTTTACAATTATTAAACAGTTAATGTGCTCCGAAGCACCAGGAGGCTGTTTATGACAATAACAACAGTTGGTTGGGAAGTTTTCATGCTTGTAAACTGTTTAATGAATGTAACCAAAGCCGTCAAAGATTGATGAAAGATGTACACGTTCATAAGTACTTGCGTAACTGCTTCGTGAATCTGGCCCCTGGTTCACATTGCTCCTCCTGCTTCTAATACTGCTGGTGTCTACTCTATTTTCTGTACGGCTTGTCCTCTCCAATACTTTGGTGAAACTGGCCGTACACTTAATGACAGACTTGAAGAGCACAAAAAGAAGTGTTAAGTCTGCAGACACAGACAATGCTCTCGTCTGTCATGTTAGGGACTCTAATCATCCTATTGATTGGTCTTCTAAAATAATCTTTCCTGCCTCTACACAGACGCCGTCTTGTCAACTCGGCTCTGATACACAACCTACCCAACATGAACCTTAGTCCTGGCTTTGTTGTTGTTGACTCTTCTCTTTCACAGTACGTACTCAAATGTTGCAAACTTTCTAACCAACGTGACCTAACATAATCCTACCCTTCCTTTTCCTCGTTATTTTTTCTTTCTCTTGTTTCTCTTACGTTCCCATTTTCTTACTCCTGTTATTACATCCTTTATTACCCCTTACTTTCCGTACCTTTTGCCTTGCTCTTTTCTTCAACTAAGATTTCCATCTCCTCGCCTCTCTCTTTTGCCTAAATGCCCTTGCCTCCCTCGTCTCCTTACAATCGACTTGATATTGGTCCAGGACGAACAGAAAATCGCAATCTCTTCAATTTTATGGTGTGGTTTGGTCACCATTTTTCAGCCACGTTATTGTGACTGTTCATCTGCATCAGTGACTTCACCAGTAATGGAGACAATAAAGCATCAGTGACTACACCAGTGATGGAGACAATAAAGTATCAGTGACTACAACCTTAGAAACTCTTACCATCGACAGTGAAAAGAAACATAAGAAATATTGAGAAAATTCGTGTTAGAAATAATCGACTGAGGCCCAGGCAGCGTCTTGGTAACCGGATCTGAATCTTGCCTCCAAACATTTTAAAGTGCGGAGGAGCTGCGTCTCAGGGGAGGCGGTGGAGCTGCGTCTCAGGGGAGGCGGTGGAGCTGCGTCTCAGGGGAGGCGGAGGAGCTGCGTATCAGAGGTGGCGGTGGAGCTGCGTCTCAGGGGAGGTGGAGGAGCTGCGTCTCAGGGGAGGCGGAGGAGCTGCGTCTCAGGGGAGGCGGAGGAGCTGCGTCTCAGGGGAGGCGGAGGAGCTGCGTCTCAGGGGAGGCGGAGGAGCTGCGTCTCAGGGGAGGCGGAGGAGCTGCGTCTCAGGGGAGGCGGAGGAGCTGCGTCTTAGGGGAGGCGGAGGAGCTGCGTCTCAGGGGAGGCGGTGGAGCTGCGTCTCAGGGG